ATTACACCCTGTTCTTCTCTAAAAGAAAAGTTTATATTATGGATGTTATGGATGGTGATTAATTAAAATACAAAGCTTTGGATTAGAATACTATACTCAAGTGTTTTCCAAACATTGTTGAATCAAAATCTCAGTAACTTTTTTCAACATTTATTACTTATTTTTCCCACTAAAAATACTGAGAACGTGTTTGCTCTTGTTTGTATTTTCTCTCTCTTCTAATAATGGTTTCATTCCCCATTTTATGATATGAAAAGAAATTAATAATATGGCTATTACTAATAATAAAGTACTTTTTTACATATCTGCCCTGCCTCTTTTGTAAAGATGGATCTTAATTTTCCTTTAGCAATTTTCAATAAAAGCAAAAACTATTTCTCAATGTAATTTCCTCTATGACACCATACTTTGACTTTTTGTATTGAGTTCTGGAATGTAGTAATGAGGTTTTCAGAGGGAAACATGTAAATCATAATAACAGGGTTACATGGGTAATGCATGTATAGAAAAAAACTTTAAAGTTAAAGGTTTTAGATCAGCTGTTATAAATATGCTGTGGTATTAAATTTGGAGTCACATGGTTTCCATTTTCTGTCCATTGAAGGCTACCTCTGGAGGGTCCCAAATTCTTATTTATTACAGGATTTGCTATTCATTGCCTGCAAATATTGTCATATTTGTCTCATAGAGCAGTTCAATTTACCTGTATCTTCTCGGAAACTAAATGATTCTATTTATGATTCATTTGTGCTCTTTCAATGACTATTCTGTGCATATTGTTCTTCTAAACAGAAAGAACTGGTATATTGATTTTGAAAGAAAAATGTTTTGAGTTAGGCTAGACCAGACACTTAAGATTTGTCAGTAAATAACTTATCTGCTATGAGGCTCTCTTACAAATCTTCATGTTTGTAAGGAAGGTGTCCTTTCTTCTGACCTAGGAAATAAGTTGGAAACCTTTTTTTTAATGTTTAAGCTATACTGAAGGAAGGGGCAACTTTTTGACTTTGCTAAAACACAGTTTAATGCTTTAGAGAAAGGAAATTAGAACTCTGTTCTTATTGATTTAATGGTAAATCATTTTGTTAACAACTCCACATTTGACTTTATTGTTACTAACTCAGGCAAGCTAATCAGACACAACTTTTTGATGTACCTTTACAGGAAAGATAATTTTTTTATTTATTCCAAGAGGAAATCTCCATACCTGGATTCTGTGACATGCTGCTATTGATATAATCAGCAGAATGAGCAACATGTTTATGCAGCCCAGCAGTTGAACAAAAAAGAAAGTCATAAAATATGGGAATATCCTTCATGATCTATATTTTAGGGCAGTGTTTCCCAAACTTTTGACATATGTGTACCCCTCCTATAATTTTCGTAACGCTGAGTACCCCTCAT